TCGAGCGCCGCGATCTCGCCCCTCGGGACTGACTGGGCCGACCCTGGCAGGGGGCCCAACAGGTGCGGCCCCAGCTGCAGGCTGCATGGCCTGCCCTGCCCACCAGCCTCGGCTGACCTCGGCGCAGTCCGTGACGTAGATGACCCAGCCCTCCGTAAGCGGATCACCAGCTCGAGCGCCGCGATCTCGCCCCTCGGGACTGACTGGGCCGACCCTGGCAGGGGGCCCAACAGGTGCGGCCCCAGCTTGATCGGCGAGAAGCTCTCCACGACGGTGACCGCCACGCCGACGCGACGTAGACGTAGGCGAGTCGTGCGTGTCCTGGCCGCCCGACGCGTCGCCAAAGACGAGCAGCGGGGCATCCTCGGAACCGCGCCCAAGACAGCCGCCGTGATGCCCCCGCCCATGCACCCTGCTTGCCACTGCTCCTCGGCCGTCGGCGGCGCCACCCTCGTCCACGCCGGCGGGGAGAGGCCGCGCAGCCAAAAGCATGGGAAAGAATCGGACTCGGCGATCGCCTCGGGGACGAGGTCGCTGGAGCCCAGGATAGCGCGACCACTGCTATTGCAACTGCACAGCCACGTGCGATGCAGGGGCGACTCGTCGCGATGGCCACACCTGTCGCGCTTGCCGTCGTCACGCAAGCCCGCCTCGAACCGTCGCCGATTGGGCCGGGGCCCGCCCACCGCGACGGCCACCATCAGCTCTGCGAGCTGGTGACCTCGGTGAACATGCTGCAACTCAGCCAAGAAATTCCTTACGCTGAGAAAGTCGGACCCCTCCTCGAGGCCACCTCCGCAGAAATGCTCCGCGGCTGCACGCCACTGCCTGCGCGCAAGTGAACCCACAAACTCCGTGATGAGCGGGGCGGCCTGGTCCATCGCACAGAAGCCGGCACAGCTGAAATTCCAACAGTGCCTGTCCTGAGAGATGTCACTCGTCGTATTCCGCTCAGTGGCTAGGAGTCGGATTCCATCCAGAGCGTAGGGAGTAGGAGATAACCGCTGAAACAAGCCCGCGTACGTGGCGAGAGCGACCGACCTCAGCCACGCTGCTGAGCTGCTCGACGAGACGCGGCCACACTCGGACGACTCCTGAACGGATCCGAGGTTCTGAATGCCAAACTTGAAACCACTGCTCGATGCACTGCTTGGGTAACACTAGCCCTGGGTCGCTGTCGGGGAGACGCAAGGCTAGCAGCGACGCGGTGCAGCGCCCGCGCCGCAGAGAGCCCGCGGCTGCGGCTAGGCACCGCCGCTGAATCACCATGCCGCTGCCGTGGACCCCGTGCACCCGGTGCCCGCAGGTGGAGGCCGCCTGCGGGCCCGCCCTCTGGAAATTCGCAGTGCAGACAAAGCGCCTGGACGCTCTGGCGAAACGCTTCAGCTTGTCGCGCTGGGCGCCGCCCTTCACGACCCGCTTGCGCGCTGTCTCCCTCGCCTGCCTCCTGGCGCCCCCCAGGCCCACGCCGAGGTAGGCGGACTGCAGGGCAGCCTCGGCAAACACTGGCTGACGACGGAGAGCCTTCACGACAAGATAAGCGTCCTCAGGGTGCGAGCACGCGACCGCACTCTTCGGGGGGAGGTCCAGCTGCTGCTCCTCCAGAAACCGTGCCGCGGCGGCAATGCCCTTGATCAGGGTCGACCTCGCATGCCGACGCGATCCTGCCACGCGCTGAGATAGGTCATCTATCCACAACCGCTCCGACACGGTGGGGCATGCGAAACATACCTTTTGAACCGCCCAATACGTCATGCATCGTGCACAGCGGGCCCCGCCCCGAAGGCCTTGCGCCACCGACCGCGTCGGCTGGAATACATCTGACAAGAACTCCACCTGGGCGAAAGTCCATGGACACATGCAGACCTGCAGCTCGAGAAAGAATATCACTGGCGGGAAACCGCGCTCGAATGCTCCTCTGGCGAGGGGGTCAAACTCGATACTGTCATAGAACGACTCGATGTCGGCCAGAGAGCGCCCGTGAAGTGGCCCCATCCTGCTGGCCACCTCGTCGTCGGGGGCGCGCGCGAAGGTCTCCCTCAATGCACTGTTGTTGGCCACCGCGGCGTCCCATGCGGGCTCCTGCTCGACAGCCCACTGCCTTATCAGTGGTTCGCGACACATCGACCATACCCGACAAAACATCGCCAGGAGACCTATCACCCGGTCCCCGCCACTCTTTTTGCCGAGCAGGCGGCCTATCGCTGTCATCACTTGCCAAGGCCATGTGGGACCTTCTGCGATGAGCTGGTAGAGCTGGCAGAGCCCCTCGAGCGCGACGTCAGGGGGCCTTTCAACATCGACTGGAGACAACTGATATATCCCCAAGCCTGCCCTGCTCTTCACGCTGGAGAGGGCGGCTCGCAACCCGCTGGCAGAAATGGGAACCACGGGTTCAATGACGGCGTGCCCCCGCATGCAATTACATATATCCTCCACCATGCCGGAAGTGAGAGAATCTGAGCGCCAAAGCTTGTGACACTTCCGCGCCTTGAAATCTATAATGTCCATCGGGTGGACGAAACATTGCAGACCCTGATGTAGCTCGTCAATGGCTGGCTGCGGGTCCTTCGAGCTCTTGCGAACCACTCCGACGGCGGGTGTCGAGGCAATCCACTCTTGAAATTCTTTCAAGGAGGCCGACGCTGCACGAGACTCCGCCAACCTCGTCCCGCGGAAAGGCCACGCCTCAAGAACCTTAAGACGATCCAAGCTGACGAACTCCAAAGCCTGCAGGTCTCGCCGCAACTCAGCCCAAGCTCCGAAGCTGCTCAACTTGATTGTGCTCGCCCCCTCGGGGGCGCTGTTGCCGATTCGCGCTGCGACTGCGCAAAGATGCTGAGACTGGACAGGTCCGCTCTTGCGGCTGCGGTGCCGCGCGAGCTTTTGAGTGACGGAATGAGCACTCGACCACCAGCTAGCCACCATGTCGTGTAGCGGCTGCTCGCGCAGATGCGCGGCCTGGTGCGCATGGGGCCACAACCGGCTGGAAACCTCGAGCACGCGACTGCCGAGGTGGATCCTGCTCGAGATGGAGCGCGATCGCCCGCTCCACTGACTCGATCCAAGCACCGCGCCGATTGCTGATCGTCTGAATGCGTTGCTGCCCGACTTGAAAGGCCAGAGACTGACGCACGGCGGGCGGAACTTCATTGAGAAAGCCTTGAGGCCCACCAACTTGAGCCGGAACTACAGACCAAGTAGCAGCAGAGATGGGGAAATAAGGAAAAGCAGCAGCAACGGCAGCGGAGTGGGAAGTGCCTTGACCAGCTCCACTGGAGTCGACCTCGGGGCAATCGCTGGGTTGGGCCCGACTCCCCCCCACCGTAACTGCAGGTGGAATCGTATCTAAATTATCTGGCGAGACACTGACGAAACCCCCCCACGGCTTCTGAGTTATCCTGCTTGGGGCCCTGTGGGACATCTGCGACCCCAGAGCTCTCGCCCCGCGCCGCGGGTCGGTCGGAAAAAAATAAAAACATTTGTTGGCAGCTTGCGCATCATTAGTTGCTGACCTGATCCCTGCAAACGAATGGACAAGCCACAATGCGGCTTCCACGGAACGTGCGACACGGCTTCTACACTTCTAACATGCGGAACGCACGCAGCACCTGCGATGGCATAGTTCAAGTGCGAGTCCCCTGAGCCTCCCATGCACGTGTACTCCGCCGACGACCGAATGATGTGTCCGTTGATCTTCTGCAGAAGCGGAGATTTAATCATGGTACGAATGTCGATGTTAAAATCACCGATGATGCACCACGGGGGCTGCAAGTTTCGCACGAAGGCTCCGACTTTGCCGAACCTCGTGACGTTGCCCACAATGAAACCGATGGACGGGCGCCCGTATGAAAAAAACACACACAAAAACCAAAAAAAAAAAAAAAAAAAAAAAAAAAAAAAAAAAAAAAAAAAAAAAAAACGCCACGAACTTGCACCCTTCCTGGTGGACCAGGACGGGCATGAAGCCGTCGAAAGAGTCGCCCCCCTCGGCGCAGTAGGCGGGCAAGTCACGCGCCTTCTCACAGAAGCGCTGGACGTGCCTGTAGTTCCTGGCCATGAAGACTTCCCCGCCTTCGGTGGCCCGCTCGCGAGCGGCCTCGGACTTCCCCTTGCCCGTGCCCCTCGCGCCGTTGTCAAGGTAGCGCCACTTGGAGGCCTGCGCGTTGCGCGCCCACTCGCTGCGAGTGGGCCCGCCCCCCTGGGCGTGCGACTCCACGACCCCGATGCAATGGCACTGGTTCCTGACTTGCTGCTGTTGTGGTAGGCCCACGACTTCTCCCCCAAAGCCGCGACGCTCGCGAAGAACATCCTGCAGTCCTGCTCCTGCTCTGACTCATCGGTGGGCGCCGCTGCTGGCGCAGGCTGAGACGCCCGCGCGGCGGCTGCGCCCTGCGGCTCACCGGGCGGCGAGGCTGGAGGGGCCGCTGGCCCTCCAGCCGCCTGCCCGCGAGGTCACTGGCCCGCGCCGCCAGCGGCGCCCGCGGCAGCGGCCTGCGACGCGCTCGCTGGGGCGCCCGCGGCCTGCGCTGCTGCGGCGACGCCAGCCTCGCGCGCCGAGCGGGTGCGCTCCACCTCGGCGTTGATATCCTCCTGGGTCGGGCTCGCGGAAGCCGGCGCTGCGGTGGGCGGTGGAGCGGCGCCCCCGCGCTGCCTCCGCTAACTGCGGCGTCGCCTGGCGCCGCTTCCTCCTCGCCCATCTTCCGCTTCTTCTGCGTCCGATCCTCGATCCGCTGCTTGGTCTCTGCGACGGACGCCTTCCGCCTGTTGATCTCCTCTGCCTTGGCTGAGAAGTGGGTCTTCGCCGTCTGCAAATTTGCTTCGGACTGCTTGAGATTGGCACGCTGCTCGTCTTTGCACTCGAGCGCGTCGAATTGCGCGAAGAAAATCGCACCCTACTGCAAGTCGATGAATGTGGTGCAGCCCTTGCCGCCCGTGGTGGCTGACGAACTTGGGCTGTCCGCCGCTCCCACTTCGCGGGCCATGGCCTTGGCGGCCACCTGCTGAATTCCTTCGTGGCCAAAGCCCTGATCGCCTCGGCTTCGCGCGCCTTGGTCTTCTCAAAGCTGTCCTTGCACCTCTGCACCTGCGAGGACGCCTGCTCGCACTGCAGCGATGCCTGCTTCCGCGCCCCCCTGCCCTACGCACTGCCTCCGCCGCTGGCGCTGGTGGCTGAGGCTGCGCGGGAGACGAAGGGTTCTTCTTCACCTGTTCGTGCAAAACCTGCGTCAGCACTGGGTCGCGGATCATCTGCGCGGCCTGCGCTAAGAGCCCCTCGGCTGTCGGCTGGCGTGGGCTGGCGCCGATGAACGCAGCGCCGCCCTCCTTCGGCGCCCTGGCCTTGTGGAGTTTGACTTGCCGCCCACACTTCCTGCACTTGCTATGCTTCCCCTGCAGCATGTGGTTGTACTCATACGTCCCGCATGACCTGCAGGTGGGCCACGAACGATGCCGCGTGGCCGCCATGGTCGCGAACCTCTCTTCGCCAGCGAGAGCGCCAGCCTCCTGTGGTGGCTGGTGGCTCGCTGCCCCCCAAGCACTACGGGGAAGGAAGTGAGAGGCCTTGGCTCGAGGCCGCAATAAAATGATGCGCTCGCGCCCATATTGCTTGAGAAGGGGAAGGGAGAGGGGGGAGGGGGGCGGGCATCAGGAGGCAATTACTGGGAGGTCTTCGTCGGAAGGATCGAGAAGGATTCAACTGGAGGGCTGTTGCGCCGGGATGGGTCGCGGATGAAGCGGGGCCAAGCCGGATTCAGCGGGATCAGGCGGGAACTCGCTGGACTAAGCGGGATCAAGGCGGACTAAGCCGGATCTCGGATCAGGGCAACATCTGAATTTGACATCGCAGGAGAATCATTCGAAGGGGATGGACGGAGAAGTTGAATCGGAGATCGGGATGGAGGGAAGAATCGGACGGATGAGGGACGAGGGGGGGATGTGGAAGTGGAGGGCTGGGTCAAGCCAAGAAAAGGAATCAGTGGATCTCAAAACAAGCCTAGGCGCGATTCACACTCAAATCTTACAATAAAGCACCGACTTGGGGGGAAGGCCCCTGGACAAACGGGAAAGCACCTCCTTCCCAGCTTTGGTGGGGGGATGGCCCAGGGTTTTGCGCATATGGCGTAGGCCCTGGAATGCAACAGTGGCGTGCGAATCTCATCTCTCAAAATAGATGGCGCCACGCAGCACTCTCGAAATATGGCAACCTCCACAATGCGGGGGCTTACACGGGGCCATGGCATGCGGAGGCCGGAGGAGGGGGGGGGGGGGGGGGGGGGGGGTGGGGGGGGTGGGGGGGGGGGGTAGGGGGGGGGGGGGGGGGGAGGGCGGGGGGGGGGGGGGGGGGGGGGGGGTGGGGGGGGGGGGGGGGGGGGGGGGGGGGTTGGGGGGGGGGGGGAGGGGGGGGGGGGTGGGGGGGGGGGGGGGGGGGGGGGGGGGGGGGGGGGGGGGGGGGGGGGGGGGGGGGGGGGGGGGGGGGGGGGGGGGGGGGGGGGGGGGGGGTGGGGGGGGGGGGGGGGGGGGGGGGGGGGGGGGGGGGGGAGGAGAAGGAGGAGGAGGAGGCACGACCAAATCGAATAGTGCGCAGGGCGACAGACAAATATAGAGAACGAGCAGGAAAAGAGGACGAACACGCGCAACATCACGAGAAACATGAGAAAACTCGAACGAGCGAATTCGCGAATTCGAGATCACCTCAGACGAAACCAAAAACAAGCAGCATCGCCTGGGGGGAAAGTAGGCGGGGCTCAACCCTCCACTCCCCCGAGATTGGATCCTCACCAGCCTCGAGGGTTTTTAGATAGGAGGCGTCTTTACTGGATGCAACACCCTCGCAGCGGCAGCAAAAACGGAATCGAGTGGCCAGCGGCTGGGCCCTGGCCCCACACCGACGGAAATAACGGCATATAGTAGCGGCGTGAGTTGCCAGGAGTAGCGGCGCCCCAGCGCGCGGCGCACTGGCCTGTCCATACACGAACATGCCGTTCACGGGCCGCCGACCACAACCGAGCGACATGGGCAAGAGCTCAATCGCTCGATCTCCTTGAAGACCCTTGGGGGGCACGGGCCCAATAACTGAAAAGAACTGATGTAGCTAAACTTCCCGCGCGTCGCAAATCTTGCGAAGCGTGGCCAGCACCTGCGGCGCGGGGTCTGGCAATCGCGATGCGTCCAAGGGGGTCAATCGATCCACTCCCACGGCGCCCTTCTTCGCATGACCTGGGGCCTCTCTCGGGATGGCGCCATCGAAAGGGGCGAAATGATTCAACCGCAACGCGCCGCCGAAACTCTGGACAACAAAACCCACTCAGCTCGCGCAGCGGCTGGCCAGGCAGGCCCCGCAAAAGAAACCCAGCGCTGCCATTTGCGACCAATAATCTCAAGGGGGCGCGCGACCGAGGTGGCATTGACATCGAGCGCGTCGATGACCGAGGGCTGCTCTCGCAGAGCACGATGCAAAGCGCCCCCTGCCGGTGCCGACTCAGCCCGCGCACGAAATTCTGCCGCGCGCTGATCCAACGCCCGCCACTGAGCACGCCCAGCAATACGTCCGGCAACCCTCGCAACGACGGCGAGCTCCCCGTGGGAGACCTCTGCTGCGCGAGCCAAGTAGTGGAGCCAGCAGACATCTCATGGAAAACGGCCAGCATGCCGAACGGCCTGATGATCGCGTTCAGGAGGCTCCTCTCGCAGCCTCTGGAGGGCCTTTGCGAGAAGGCACTGCTGAGCGATGCCCACGTTCTTAGTGCGACATCGCATCGGCCACGCCAGAACTGTCGCAACTGTGGCCCACCAACTGACGACCCGAAACCAGAATGCAACCTCCCGCGCAAGCTTTGCCCCCTGCGCTCGCGCTTCACGGGGCTCGACGGAATCGCAGCGGGATCTGCCGGGGGTGGCCCGACCACGAAAGGAGGGCATTGTGGACTCAACTGCCCGAGGCTGATCTCATTCAAGAGCGGCAGGGGCGGTCGGGCCATAATTGGCCTCGTGGGGCCACGGGGCCCCCTCGCTGTAGTCGGAGTCGGGTTCTTCACCGCCGAAGCCTGTCTCCGCCTCGCCGTCTACTCTGCAATGGGAATCTGGGTTGCCAGCCCGACGCTCATGGGCCTGACTGCTATTGCGGCGCTCGAGCCGCTCGCTAAACCCTCGCGAACCTTGCTACCGCGACGCCCATGCGCAGCCTCGCGCGCAATAATACACTCGATGTTAGCCTCGCTGGACTTGAAGCCTGGGGCGGGCTGCTTGGAGCGGGGAGCGAAATATCGACGCCCACCCCGCCTTGCAGCGCTCACGTGCGCATATATTCGGCAGAGCCCGCGGATGGCCCCGAATGATATCCCGACGTCGCATTTCCATCGTCGGCAAGACCGGCAGGATGCACCTGGCCGAACAACGCGCGCACGCGGGGCCGCACAGACCAGAAACTTCCACCCTGGAGCACGCGCGCGCAGTCCGCGGCTTGCTGTTATGAGCCAGCCACGCGGCTCTCGCCGCAGGCACTGATATGGCGACTCAGCGCCTAAGGTTTCGCCTCTAGAAATACCCCAGTATTCGGTTCACC